ACTAAAGCCAAAGATTGCAACCCAAACATTTCCTCCACTGTGAAGGAAGGTAGTCAGACAGAGCGTACTTACCTGGGAGTTTGCTCTCCATTCATGGGACAGCTTGAGTTGGGAGGGGTGGGGGGTATGAAACTGAAGGGTGTCACATACAACAGCTATATAAATGCTCAAAAATTGTAGCTGGAAATAAATGCCCCTGGGAAATTTCTAGCTAAAGAGAGGTGAGCTTGGGTGGAAGTCTGAAAGGTTTCAGTGGTCCTATTTTCCAGGTTTGCTTACTTGCCTCCCCTTGCAGAGGATCGACCCCCAGCTCCTTAAGGATGCTGATTTCAAAACTAAGCATTAGCTTGGCTTTGCTGCAACAGATTCCCTCTGGCCATCAGCTTTAAATTCTGCAGTGGATTTAAGCAAAGGAGGACCTACGATCTAGAAAGCCACTGGTTTGCAGTATTTGCTGGAGCTTCTCCACTTATCTCGCTCTCATTGTTCTTACGCCCCTCCTCCAGACACAGACCACCTTTATTTGGACGGGCTTTCATTGTTTTGCTTCATCTCCCAGGCAAGTTGTCTTCCCCCACTCCATAATTGCTTCTTAAACCAGGCATCTAAAAGAATAGCGGTGAGAACTGATGGTACTAGGTACAAATACAGGAAAAATGAAGAATTAAAACGCAGAAATTTATTTTTAATCCCCCTAATGCCGCTCAGAGTACAGGCTGAAGCCCGTTAAGTGCAGCTCTAGCTATGTCTCCTGAGAAGAAAAGCCCACTGAGTTCAGTAGGAGTTAGTTGCAGTGAATATAGAGTTACAACATAGGATTCATTTGCATGTTAGCTTATCCAGCGAGGTGGCATGCTAGCAGATTTTGGCTGATTCCAAGAAAATACAGGCATGGCAGTTGGATGGGAGGCTATCAGGAAACCCCAGAGCTGCTGGCTAGACTGGGAAGTCAAAAAAACATTCTGAAAAAAGCCATTTGGAGCAGTGGCAAACCATTTCTATGTGGGGGTTAAACAAACAAACAAACAAACAAACAGATGTGTCTAGGAATTGAGCTGCACTCAGAAAAGTCTGTCTTTTTTTGCCACTTTTTCTCCAGGAGCAAGCATAGTCTTGATCCCTGATTTCATTCTCATCACCTGCCTGTAGAGAGTGAGGGGAAATGACCTTAATGGAATTTTGCAAGAATCATTACCTAGGCAAAAGGGGCTGAAACATTTTTAAAGTCCAGAACAATGAGATAACATTTGGAAGCAACTCTGGCTCCCTGACTCACTGGAGTATAAGAAGGGGGAGGCAGGTACAACACAATCAGATTCTGTTATTGTAGCCAGTCCCCATAAAAGTAGTTAAGCTTTCCTGTGGAGTTCATTTCCTGGTCTGATCTATCGAGTGGGGCTGATACCATCTGAGAAAACCATGGCTGGCTAATCATCGCTGCTTGAGCATATCACAACTAGGTCCTCTAACCATAATGTTGGCTGAGTTCACACAACAGGGTAAGCCAAAACAAAACAAAGAAGTGTGGTCGTGGTGACTGACTCCAAGCTTCATGGACTTAAGAGTTAGACCTGGGTCTCCTTAGCCCTAGTAGTCCAACAATTTTAAGGGCTGGATTCCTGTTAATTTCCATCAGCTTTGCTCTGTCCATTAACATTGCTGTGACCTGGAAGCCCAAAGTGTGCGTGTTCAAAGGAGGCCAACCCTCCAACTTTTATGGCATTCATTTCCCCAGATATACCTGGGAAAGCTGCAGCTATATTGGGGGACACATCCCAAGGAGCACCTGGTGATCAGGCTTCTGCACAAGGAAAAAAACTGGGCCTGGCTGTGAGAAGGCAGGCAGGACCACGGCCCGAGCAGCCTTCTGTCTCCTGATATCCACCAGCTGGGAATTATGGGAAGAGAAGTCAACCAAATCCGGATGGCCCATGCTGGAGAAGGCCTCAAGGACATTATTCCTGAGTGCTTCTGCGGAAGCAGCATTGCCGTCCTTGGCTCTCTTAGGTACTGCTTGTGTTTCCAGATGGCAGTGCCAGCACAACCAGCACCTTGGTTCCTTCAAGGTCCACTAGTTTGCACCCAAAGGACTCTAGGAGCAGCGCTCCCCTCTCCCTTCCTCCCCTGCTTGGTGTGAGCCTCAGAGCCTAGCTTTGAAGATCAGAATCAAAGCTTCAAGCCATCAATCCTTCGATTGTGATGATTATTAATTTTATGATTAGGAAAATCTCCACCTCCAATCCTCTGAAGGCAAAGTTATGAGGCTCTTTTAATTATTTAGCGCGTACCATAAGCTATTCATCTGGGGCATCATTTATTCATTCACAACATTAAGGTAATTAAATATGAGCTCACCGGGAACGAGCGAGTCTTGAAAAGGAGGAGGCCGGTTGGTTGGTTGGCTGGTTGGTTAGATGGATGGATGGCCAGTGAAGAGATGGGCCGAGAAAAGGAGGGGGAAGAGAGGGGGTTGGTGAGCTGGCTGGCTGGGGGTGGGTGTTGGCTTCTTCTTTTAAAGTCTGCAATAATTGATTTGCACAGAATTTCGTTCCCCTTAGCTGACACTTGAGAACCGGCTCATCTTGCAAGGTCCTGACGTGTCTCCCTTCTGGGGGCAGATGGAGAGAGAGAAAAACCTCTAGCTGCTCCCTTTCCTTTTCCCTGGCAGTCAGTCGCTCGGCTCCAACCAGAGCGTCCGCGGCTTAGAGCGCCGAGCAAGCCCAGCTCCGCCGCAAGCCCCCTTCTGCGCCAGGCTGAGACGAGACTGCCTCGGGGCGGCCGCCTCCGCGCCCGCTCGCTCGCTGGCTCCCGCTGCTGCCGCTTGGACTAGGCGCGCGCTCCGATAGGCGCTGGAAGCGTCCAATCAGAAGAGCCCGGACACCGAGGCGGCTTTAAGCCTGGCTGCGGGAGGACCCCAGCAAAAGTTTCCCCGGCAGCAGGAACTCTCCGAGAGCATCCATTTCCTCGCCGCCGCCGCCTTCTGCTGCGCGGGGCAACGCTTCCTCTCCTGGGTCCGGCCGGGTGACTGGGGGCACCCGACCATT